AGGCGGCTCTTGAGAATCCCCTGGACTGCAAGGAGAACAAACCTATCAGTTCTAAAGGAAATCAACCCTGAGTGCTCACTGGAAGGACAGATCCTGAAGCTGAGGCTCCAGTACTTTGGCCATCTAATGAGAAGAAAAGACTCCCTGGAAAAGACCCTGATGTTGGGAAAGTGTGATGGCAAGAGGAGAAGGGGACGACCGAGGATGAGATGGCTGGACAGTGTTTGCGAAGCAACCAACATGAACCTGACACAACTCCGGGAGGCAGTGGAAGACAGGAGGGCCTGGCGTGCTCTGGTCCATGGGGTCACGAAGAGTCGGACACGACTAAACGACTAAACACACACAAACACCACATTCCTTGAAGCTTTATCAGGATCTGGGAAACTTCTAGAGTTAGATAGCAAAAATACCATCTTCTCTTAGAGGAGGGTGGTGGCTATCCTTCAGCAGGTTACTCTTAAGACTACTAGATCAACAAAGGACAAAGTCATGCAGCCTTGTGCCCCCAAACGTTCCTAGTGGAAGGGCTAATAATAATATAATAATTTTAGAACTGCAGAGCTGGAAGGGAGACTATGGGACATTGAGTCTAGTCCTTGTTAAGGAGGCACTCTGGGGAATCAAATTCCCAACCTAGCAGCCAGAGGAAAGGAAATGGGAGGAAAGCGATGACAAACCTTGACAGCATCTTAAAAAGCAGAGACATCACCTTGCCAACAAAGGTCCACATAGTCAAAGCTATGTTTCTTTCCAGTAGCAATGTATGGAAGTGAGAGCTGGATCATAAAGAAGGCTGACCGCCAAAGAATTGATGCTTTTGCATTGTGGGGCTGGAGGAGGCTGTTGAGAATCCCCTGGACTGCAAGGAGAACAAACCTATCAGTTCTAAAGGAAATCAACCCTGAGTACTCACTGGAAGGACAGATCCTGAAGCTGAGGCTCCAGTACTTTGGCCATCTCATGAGAAGAGAAGACTCATTGGAAAAAAACCTTGATGTTAGGAAAGAGTGACGGCAAGAGGAGAAGGGGACGACCGAGGATGAGATGGCTGGACAGGGTCACCAAAGTGACCAACATGAATTTGACACAACTCTGGGAGGCCGTGGAAGACTGGGTGGCCTGGCATGCTCTGGTCCATGGGGTCACGAAGAGTCGGACACAACTAAACGACTAAACGATGACGACTGTTAATGCTGAGACAGTATTAGCAGTAGAATCCAGCTATGACACTTCTTTTATTTCATTTTATTTTATTCCAGGAATTTGTTTTTAACATCTAGCATGACTCCACCTTCTTTTCTACACTTTCTATTCTTTTTGAACAATTTACATTCTTCAGTTGCTATTCTGCCATCTTGGGAGTGATCTCACCACATTTCAGTTATCCCTATCGAGTCATATTTGCCCTCCGGAATTAGGATTTCTTGACCTTGCTTGTTTCCCATACTCCTGAAATTAGTATGCAGACACTGGAGAGGGTGTGATTTGTGATCTGGTTTCCTTCCTTCATTTTTATGAAGACTGTTATTGAGCCCCATTAAAGCTGTTTGGCCTGCTCCTCTTACTGTGCATAAGTATTCATCTATCTTTACTTCTGACCTTGCATCTCTCTCCTACTTCCAATTTACTTTAAAGCCCTTTTGATGAAGTTCATTTTGTGGCCAACACGTTCTTCCCAGTTCTTGTAAAATGCGACCCATCGGTTGCCAGTGGTACATCTTCCAGGAAGCATTACCTGTGGTCCCAAAATCCAAATTCCTCACCTTGGCACCACCTTCATAGCCAGTCATTCACCCAAAGTATTTTTCTTCGAGAATACATATTTCCCTTTCCCTTTCTATTCCTCTTCTGAGCACTGGTAGGATGTTTGAGAATCTGTGCCCTAATGTCCTTGAGTCTCCTTTCTAGAGCTTCAATGTCTGATGTGATTTTTTCATGATTCCTCTTGGCTGTGTCATCTGTTCCCACATGGATGAGTAGAAAGGGATATGTTATCTGTAGGTTTTATGAGTGATGGCAGTCCTTCTGTCACATCCCTAATCTGTCCTTCAGGGAGACAGCATACCTGCAGGTCCATGAATCTTCCTGGCATACTTAAGTGTCAGTCCCACTCAGTAGGGAATCTCCTACTACAACTATTCTTATTTTTTGGTAGGGTTTTTGTTCAGGGTCCCCGCTTGGCTGAGCTTCAGCCTCTCTCTTGGGGTCCCCCATTGGACACCTGTAGGTTTTTCTCTGCAAGCTTTCTGACAACTTCCCTTCCAGAATCTGAAAGTGGTTTTTGCAGTTCCCCTGGTGAAAAGTGTTTTTCTCCAGGTTTTTTAAAAATGCTCCTGTGACCCTTTCCCATGATGTTTTCTCCACAATGTCTTTTCTCTCCTCAACACTCTGCTTTATATTGCTATACAGTAGTTCCACCTCCAGTGCTTCTCTTGGCTGCTGCTGCTGTTCAAGTGTTCTGTCTGTTCACTCTTCATCTGCTATTATGGCTTTAAGCTTGGCCATTTGCTGTTCCTGTTCTCTCACTTTTCCGTCTAACATTGTTGTTCTCAAGGACAAAGATAAACAGTGCACATACTTTGAATATCACGAGTATGGAAGTGTCTCTTCCCTCCATAATCCTTATTATCTTGGTTACATTTTTGTCTTTTGCGGAGGACCCAACGTTCAATTCCCCACTGTGTACCCGGGAACAGCCAACCTGTGTCTCCCTGGACAAGCCTCACAGTCACAGAGGAAGGGAATGATAAACCACTTCTGAGTACCTAGAAAACCCTGAAATGCGTCACCATAAGTCTCTTCCACCAAACCACACAAAATGCCTGGTTTTCCAGCCCTTTACACTGGCTCTTGCTCCTGAGATCCCAGAAATTGTGACCTTTGCTGTGTGTGTATTGGTAGTCAGGTGGCTGTTCAGCTTTGTTTTAGAAGTTGGCCTAGCAAAAAGGGGCCACTCTGTCTCCTTTTGTCTTTACAGGGGCCATCAGGAATGAAACATCTTTGTTCACTTATGACACTCAACATTTGTTAGACAAATACTTCTATGGGCCAAAGCACGACCCCACTTTTCTTCCTGTGTTTACTCCCTCTGAAGACCCAACTGACCCCCTTGTGGAGCAGATGGCGTTTCTTTGCCAATCAGACCCTTTCTGTAGGTTTGACGTCCTGACAACCAGAGATCTTGCTGTGGGAAACAGCACCAAGTTGTCCCATCAGAGATACCTGTACCTCCAGGAGAGTCTACAGCCAGGTAAGCAGTCCTTATGGGAATGCAGAGGAAAGGGTAATGTTCACTGCATAAGTGCCTTCGGTTTCTGGATGAATCATACTGTGCACCACATTCTGGCAGCTGCAGTGAGTGAAATGTGAAATCTGGCAAGAAAAGAAACGTTCATAGTAACACCACGTCCCTCTCATTATAAGACAGCCAAAGTCCCATTCCGCCTCAGAAATGGCACACAGACCTCTATGTTCCTTTAGGACTCCCTGAAGAATCTTCACATTAGGATTGGTAGCTTGTGAGCTATAGCACAACTGAGACATTCCAATGGACCCGAAACAAGGTTCTGGGTATGTTCTTTTGCTACTGGAAAGGACTCCTGCTGAACCCGCAAGAGCTTAAGCACTGTGCCTGGCTTACCTCTCACTGAAGTCCTCTCATCTAAAGTCAGTTAATGTTCCAGACCTCCAGATGGAGGATAATGTTCCCCCCCACCAGATGGGTTTCAGCCTTCCTGGGATCACAGAAGACAGTATTCTACCATCTCGATCCTGAGAGGAAGCAACACAGCAACTTGCTGAAAGGGGTTGCTGTGTGACCCCCCCCTCTCCAGGGCCTTCCTTCCATTTCACCGTGATGTGGCTTGACCAGAAACCCTTCTGTTTTTCTCCTCTCAGTGGTTTCTTGTGGTTGGCTGGCTCCCCCCTCAAATGGCAAGAAAGAAGGAACCAACTATTTAGTTGGGTCTGTTGTCAGATTCCATTGCAACCATGGCTACAGCCTTGCAGGAGCCTCAGAGAGAATGTGTCAGGACAATGGGGCATGGTCAGGAGAGCCCACCAGCTGTCTGCCACATGATGGTAAGTGTTGCTTTAGCACATGCACAGGGTCCCTAATCCCACAGGATGCGCTTAACAAAGATGTCTCGCAAGCTTTGCCCACCAACACCTCACATTGATTTTACATTTTGAGTGTGGAGGAAGCGTGCCGTTGTCAACTCTCTGCTAAAGAGACCAACACCATAACTATTTTTTTTGATAAGCGCACAGGCAGAGGAGGGGAGAATGGTGTGGAACAGGACTGAGTGGCTGTAGGACCTGCTCAATGGACCAGAGGGACCCTTGGCCAAGGCAGTCACTACCCTCGTTTCCCCTTTCTTTTTTCTCAGAGAGCCAGTAGAGCGTGGGTGCGGGAGGGAACAACGGACTGCTAGAAAGGTAGCGGGCATAGCTTGCAATGAAGGATTTGCCTTCTCTCTGCTAGTTTTCCTCCTGTTTAGCCAGAGCAGGGGTCTCCAAACTTTTGAGTGGGCGGGCCACATTGTGTTTTCCACATTTTTGAGGGCTGAAGGAATGAGTACACACCTCTGCCCACTCCCCTGCATGCATGGACGCACGTATACACGTATGCCCCCCATCCTCCCACACAGATGCCACCCCCCCCCACGCACACAAACGTAGGCTGAAGAGGACAGCCATATAAAACAGCAGGGTTTGGAGACCCCTGAGCCAGAGGGTTCAGGTTGCACAGGAACAGCTGCTGCCACTTGGAGGCCACGGTTAGTGTTGCCACATGATGAGTGCCTCTATAGCTGAAGCCCCCACTTTGCCACGGCAGTCCTTGCCACCTTGGGGAGCTTGAAGCAAAGAAGTGTCTCCCTTGCTAGCAGCTACCTGGGCCAAGTCAAAAAAGCCTGGGCTGGGTGGGAACAGACGGTGATGTTCAGGCTAAGACACTTCCTTAACATAAACATAAGAATGCTGGATCAGGCCAAGGACCCCCCTAGTCCAGCTCCCTGTATCTCACAGGGGCACCACCAGATGCCTCTGGGAGCACACGAAACCACTAGAGACCTGGCTCCTGATATCCCTCCTGCCACATCTGGCATTTCGAGGTACCTTTCTTTGATGCCTGGAGATTGTACATTCCCATCATGGCTTGTAACCTGCAATGGACTTTTCCTCCAGGAATCTGTCCAATCCCCTTTGAAAGTCTTCTAGGCCACATGCCATCACCACTTCCTGTGGCAAGGAGTTCCACAGACTAACAATATGCTGGGTCAAAAAATATTTTCTTCGGTCTGTTCTCAATCTCCCAACACTCAGTTTCCTTCCGTAGCATTTCAGTCTGGCTTATTATTCATTGGTATTATTATTCAACTTGGTATTTTTTTTTTGCCCTTGAATTTTGAAATGTGCAGAACAATGAGTTCTACTGGCTTTGGACACGTATCATGTACAGATGAACCTAAGCAGGGGACTTTGTGTATTTTCCTTTACAACTACAGAGCAGAGCAAAAACTGCACATATATGCCCACAGGTTCTCTCCTGTTAAATCCAGCATTTGTGGAGCTGATGTCTTCAGTACTTCTTTGCATTACTTTCTGGTTGTGATTGTTTTACTTCATTCTGAAGCCATTGTTTACTTTGCTGCAGGATTTGTTCTGGGGTGTGTTGATGGAGATTATGGTGTTTTCTATGGCACGTGGGGCAACTGAGCCCATTCTTCACCTTCAGATCTTCTGGGGAGGCCCTTCTCTTGGTCCCATGTGCCTCTCAGGCACATTTGGTGCGAGCATGAAAGGAACTTCTCTGTCCCTGATCCCAGACTGTGGAATACCCTTCTCTGGGAGGCCAGGTTGACACACATGCACCAGTCCTTCCAGAGGCATGGGAAGACATTTCTTCTTAGGCAGGCATTTAAACTACACTGGGTGTTTAAGTTACACTCTCTCTGAGATCTAAAGTGTGTTTAAAAGTTTTTTTAACTGTTTTCTTCTTATTCTAAACTTTGTATTTTAAGCACAAGTCCTTTAATGAGAGAAAGGTGGCATGTTAATGATAGCAATAAATACACAGCAGAAGCAGCCAGCCAGGGCCTCTTCGGAGAGCTGGGGGTCTGACCATGGCTTTGTCTTCTTCTCCTCCTTCCACAGGCTCTGGTCACCCGTTGTCCCCCTTCGTCCTGAAATGCGGCATTCTGGGGTTTGCGGCCCTGGCAGTTGCCCTTGGACGGGTCTAACCTGGTCACGACCTTTGGTAGAAAAGATGGAGGCTGCGGAGCCACCTGTCTTGGCTCACTTTCTGCCACAGCAAAGGGAGTCCAGAGGTTTTGTGACCTGGATTTGCAACTGGATTTCAAGAATGGCCACACCTCAACTACTTGCGGACTTCACTACAGAAAGTGTAGTCAAGCACTATAAGTAAATAAATAAAGCAAACCAAATTGTTCAGTCGTTTCAGGGAACGGGCTCCAAGGGCTGGAAAGGGAGGAGTGCATTTGTACGTCTCTCATCTGAGAGCTTACTGCCCCCAAATGGTGATGGAAATTGCCACATTCAAGGGACTGCTCGATCTCTACCCCTTCCCAAGTTTAAATTCATGTTTAGACTTTGTGTGTGTGTGTGATAGAACATCACTCCATTGGGTCTCTTGTGTGTGCATCTGGCCAGCATCTTCATGATGTGTGTCACACATTTATCTGGGTCAGCATTTACCTAGGAACACTTTAATCTTGTAACACACAATCCTGTAGCATGTTGCAACTAGAGTGGACCCACTTGAGTCAATGGAACTTATGGAGGAGCTTACTCACGAAATCCCCACTGATTCAATGGGGCAACTTTAGTTGCAACGTAGCCAGTAAATATTAATGTTCAAGCTACATATAGGAAAAAAGAAAGCTAGTGGAGGACTCCATGGCATATCAGGACATCTAGCTTAACAACAGTAGCAGGTAAATTGTGAGAGACACAATTATCAATATGCAGGAGAACAAGATGTGATGAAGACTTTTGTCAAGCTGTGCCGTTTCATGAACCTCTTACAATTAATTCTACCAGTGTGAAGCACCTGAATAGGAAAGATCCTAGCACATGTTGGCTGGTATCCTGTTGGGTCCCAAACAGTCACAGAACAATCTGTCTGGCATGTGGCTCCTTTCCCACCATTCCTTCCACAAGGGGGACGTATACTAATTCTGCATGCAAATGGAAATTTCCATTACAGTATTTGTGAAACTTCCAGGCAGAGGTCACAGGAGCAAACACCGAAATGTTTGCTGTTTTGTGGTGTCAGTGACTGGCCAGAAAAAGAGCTTGGGACTGTGCCGGAGAGTTTGATGAAAATGTCAAACCAGTGTGTGGCTGCTCTCAACGTAAGCCAGGGAGGGGAGGTGTCCATTTGGGGCTGATTAGGAAAGGATGTGAAATTAAAATTCCTCTTATGATACCTACAGTGAGACCACACTCAAAAGACTGCACACAGTTCGCTGCACCTGAAAAGAGATACTGTCGATTCAGGCAGAAAAGGGCAACTTAACGGGTTAAGGGGCTGAAGCAAATCTCCTGTAAGGAACAGTGGCAGTGTTTAAAGCTGCTCCAGAAATGCAAGTGAAAGGGGACATAAGAGAAGTGCATAAAATTCGTGCCTAAAATTAGGCATCTTGTGGAGAAACTGGAGAAAGAACAGTTCTTCATAGTCCCATCTGCGGGAATTAACTGATGGGAGACACACATTGCCAACCAATGGCTTTCAACTGGGATTAAACAGATCGATTGGGTGCAGGTTATCACCAGGGCAGAAGACAATTGGAATAGCTTCCAATAAGCAAACCTTTCAGACAAGGGCGCCTTTTATCTCCCTATCTGTTCAATCTGTACACATCATATAGCTAACTGGATTAGATTCAGAAGGAGGAGTGAAATGGTGGAAGAAACACCAGTAACTAAGACATGCAGATGCTCTTTTCTGCCATCTTCCAGACAGAAAGCAGCAATGACTTGAAATGACTATTAGGGAAAATGGAAGAAGAAAGTGCCAAGGCAGGGCTGCAGTTGAATATTATGACGACAAAACCATGAGTACAGAAGAACTCCACAACTTTAGCAATGACAATGAAGAAACTGAAATAATCAGAAATTTTGAATACCTTGGCTGAATCATCAATCCAAATAGAAACTGTAGTCATGAAATCAGAAGACTGAGACTCGGAAGGGCAGCAATGGAGGAGCTGTGTAAGGATGTGATACTGGAAACTAAGACCAAGATCATCCACACTTTAGCCTTGACTGAAGAAGCTACTTGGATGAGTAGTGAAATGTTTCAACCTAATAAGAAAGAAGTCCAGTTGCCATGTTTCAGTTCCAGTTGCAGATAACCTCACCTGGATGACTGAGAATCTTCACAGATATATAAACACTTTAGTATTCCTAGTTACTACATCTGAGTGTGAAAGCTGGACAGGGAGGAAAGCTGACAGGAAAGAAAACAATTTGTTTGAGATATGATGCTGGAGGAGAATTTGGTGCATTTTCTGAGCCACCACAGATTTAAAACAAGGGTCCTAATTAAATCCTGGACTCTCTCTTTAAGCAAAAATGAGGTCATCATACATTAGGAGCATAATGAGAAGACACAACTTGCGGTACTACTGTACTACAAAAAGCTGAAAGTAGCAGGAAAAGAGGAAGACCATCTAGGAGACAAACTGATACAGTAAAGGAACCACTGGCTTGATTTTGCTAAGAGGAGGACCTTTCACAGGTAAATAGTTCATAGGATTGCCATAGAGCAGAAGTGACTTGATGGTGCGCAACAACAGCACGACATGATAGCTGCATCTTATCTCCAGTATCAGAGGGAGAGGGCTCAGCAGATCAATCGCTCACTGCCCAGGGTGTGAATGGACTGCACTGCTGGACAGCCCTTTGTTTTATTACCTGCATGGCTCATCCTGGCCCTGTCTGGTTTTCAATCAAGTGAAATAGCTACCATACTGTACCTGAGCATATTTTGCATTATCCTATTTATTGCCTTAGTGCAGAATTCCACAGACATCTCTTCCCTCTTTTATCTTGCAGCTAAATTTTTTTAGGAAATCAACATGAGCTGCAGTTAACTGGTAGATCTCTGCCAAACAATTTTGCAAACTTCCAGATGAAGCACTCAAGCAATGCTCGATAGATACAAAGAAACAAAGTATTTATTATTTAAAAGCTTTTCTACGAATCACTCTGCACCACACAACAAAGACGTGGCAACCATCAGGGGAAGAAGACCCCATGTCCACCTGCCTTTCAACCCATCTCCCACTCCAGTGAATGCTGGTCCTGGAGAAGACTTATTTGTTACGGCCAATACTTCTGCTAACAAAATATGTGCAAACAGACAGCAAACTGGAAAATGACAGGTCACTTATGAAAACAACCTTTTCTCAGGAACAGAATCTGCTTCACTCCTCTTTCCGCCCCCCAATCAACCAGTAGGAGGCTTCTGCTTGTATAACTGGGCTTTGACTTCTCAGATGCACCCACCCCCACCTTGCCTTCAGAGCTGCCCCACACACCCTAGCAGATAGCCTGTGGAATTACTGCTTCCTGCCATCACACTCCAAGCAAGCAAGGAAAGGCAGCAGTCATATAACAGCGAACCACCAAAGTACCAGTAGTTAGATTAGGCATCCTTCAGTCTCGAGAGACTAGGGCCACGTGCTCTGTATGGAGGACTTGGAACAGCGTCTAGTGTGGCTGAGGAGGCCGATTCGAGAGTGACAACAATCCCTTCCACACTGAGGACCAACACAATCTGTCCCCTGTTCAGCTCCCTGATTTGGCTGGTTTCGGGACGGCCTCTTGGCCTCGGCCTACTGGACAAGGGTCTCTTCAAATTGGGAGAGGCCAAGATGCACCACCTGCCTCCAGGCTGGACGCTCAGATGTCAAGGCTTCCCATCTGTTGAGGTCCATTCCTAAGGCCAGTAGTACAGAATTTTATAATATTACAAAAATGTGAGACTGCAGGCAAAGCCAGATTGTAATGTGCTGTTTTAACAGGCCAGGATATTAGTATATGCTTGGTTCAAATCCAAAAGCAAAAGGTTTTTCAGAAACAAAAATGACTGGGTACAGCAGGGGTGGGCAATTAATTTCTATAGGGGGGCACATGAAAAATCTGAACTGTGTTCGGGGCCTAAACCAAGTTTACTTTAAAATAAAATGAAACAGTGATGTTATGATTGTTTTTATTTTAAACTTAATCTTCACAAATACTAAGGAGGTTTTTTTTACGGTATGTTAAAGATAAGCAACTGATCAACTTTAGACAAAAAACTATAAATGGTTTTGATGTTCAAAACTGTCCGTGGGCCGGACAGGAGTGGCTCGCGGGCCGTATGTGGCCCTCGGGCCACACTTTGCCCATGTCTGGGGTACAAGATGAGCAGACATGCAGAACAAATCTAGAAGTAAGGCATCACCAAATGGTAAAAACTGAGTCAAGCTTCTGGATAAAAGTTACCCTGCTTCCATTGTTTCCTTCAGTATCAGCACTTTGTGTGCTGTAACAGGTCCCAAGCTATATCACAGTGAATCTCCAGAAATGTCTTACATTTTTGACAGTTTGATAAAGATCTTGCTTTTAGATTCGTTCTGAATGTGTAGCCATGTTTTACTGTTTGTTATTTTTATTCTAATACTGCCTTTTGTTTCTGGATTTTACCAAGTCTGATCTCTTATGGCCACTGAGCTTCATACCCCCTTTTCCTCACCTTCTGTAACTCAACACCATGGCACGCTGCTTGTTTGCGCGTGGCCTGCCAGACCCTGCTACCTTGCCTGGCATCCAGGCTTGGATTACAGGCAGGGTTTTGAAGGGAGAGGAAGTGCGAGATTTCTGTTTTTCCCCAAACTGCTTAATCCATCCCCCTTTTCTCCAGCTGCCTTGTGCGAAGCAAATACTTGCTTGCAACTTTTAGTGAGCACTGACCAATGGAGAGCAACAGGCATCCAGAATGAGGCAGGAGGATGAAGCCAGACTCAGCTTGTCTAGGAAGGATTTAGTAGGCAGGTCACCTAACATGTGACTTGCTATCGTCAAGAAGTGGCCTGCCTATGGCTGGTTGCCAGGAGAGAGACCCACTGGCAGAGGCAAAGAGGCATCGACGTGCTACACACTTTCCATGTTTGCTAGACCTGTAGACTTCTGAGACAGCCACTGTGTTGCAGTGAAGACCACTCAGGAGCCCTGGGTTCAAATCCCTGCTCAGCCTGAAATCCCACTGGGAGTGGCAACAGTATAACCAGTCCTCCAGTCTCTCACATACCTTTATAAACCTTTAGGGTCACTGTAAATTGGATGAGCCTTGATGGCAGATACAATAGACCTTCAAGCAAATGGAGCTGACCTTGGGCTCTTCCACCTGCTCTCCCTCATCTCTCTTACCCCCCCCCCACAAACACACTGAGGTGCTTTCACTGGCCATCCATCAAGTGGGACAAGACAGCAGATGGTTATCCAGGGGCTCCTGCATGCCAGATTCTCAGTACTCGTTAAATGCCTCTGAAAAAGCCCTTTTCCGGGACCATTTTGTTCACCTCCAATTTTTCAAGCCAACCAGGGCTGGGCACGGTTTGAGGCCCTTCAGCCATCCTGCAGGCATTAAAGGCCAGTACATAAATAGGGCTAATAATGAGAGGAGACCACTGATTGCACTGAGTCGCCATATTTTGGAGGAGGCTTGGTGGCTCATGACAGCTACATTAGAAGCACTGAAGAGTCCAGGTATGATTCATTTTCTGGCTCTTGAAGTATCGCCATTACTAGTTTTGCCGCCTGCTTGCTGCCACCACCACCTCCACCACAGCTGCAAGATTTAATCAGGGCTGAGGGCCTGGCTTTGTGTTTGCTGCTCCCCTTCACACAGCCTGTTGTGGCTTGTCAAACCCTCACAGCTCCACAATTCCACGTGTGTACGTGGGTTCTGACCCTAAAAAAAATCACAGTTCCACATTTTGAGAAACAAAGCCACTGGGTTCGCTAGCAGGAAAAGGAGACAGTCGCGGGGGTGTGCATCCGACAACCTTTGGTCTATGCTGGAGGGTGGCTGTGGCTCTCCAGGGGTACCCATTCCTAGCCCTGCCACGAGTGGCCTGGCAGATTGGCATGGGCACCTTCTCCATAGAAAGCCTGTACTCTGACATGGCATTGTGTCCATTCCTAGGCCATTGGCTTCCCCTTGGGTCCATCCATGCAGAAGGACCCGGAGAGAGTCGCATTATTCTGCCTGGCAGCCCAGCATCTCCCTCGCCGTGTCTCCCCGTGCAGACTCTCAGCATGTCCTTATCTGATAAAGCGGCCTTTGCCCTCCAACTGGCCTGCCCATGGCACGCTTCACCCCACACTGCTCTGCTCCCTGGCTAGAGCCAAGAGTTGATTCCTCAAGGGCAGCTGCCCAACCCGCAGGGAAGCACCGCTCTAGCAGTCGTCTGGCAGGGCTCTTGGTGGCAGCCGTTGGGCCTCTGCCAGTGCAGGACCAAAGAGCAGAAGCGGCTGGGCAGAGGCCGTCCAGCCAAGATGGCCCTGGCCAGGACTGTGCCCTGCCTCGCCCTGCAGCCTCGGATGGCCTGGCTCAAAGGGGGGGCTGCTTCCCCAGGCTTGCTGCCTGTGGCAAAGTACAAAACAGAAACAGTTGGTCCTATGCCGCTGGGGTGTGCCCCATCTTGGGTCATAAAGAGGGACTGAACATCTTTCTACATTGCAGCTTTTGAAGCTTTGCAAATGGGAGAGGAGGAGGTAGGAAGGGAGAGAGAGAGAGAGAGAGAGAGAGAGAGAGAGAGAGAGAGAAGCACAAGGAGGCGGAGCTTCAGGGCCCTTGCTTGATCCAACAGGTGAAACTGCTGAGGGAGAGGGGCAGCTCTTTGCCCCAGCAAGGAAGCGCTGGACCGACCGACTGACCGACTGACCGACCAACCACAGGCATGCAGGGAGAGCCACTGCTTTTGAGATACCATGCCAGAAACAGCCGCCCAAGGTCATGCTGAAGCCTGCAACCATGAGGTATGCCTGTCCCAGGAGCGGCAGAAGCCCTGGAGGCTCAAGACCCCAAACGTCTCGGCTATCCAACCCAGCCAGGCCATAGGGCTTCCTTGCCCAGCAGAATCTGACCCTCTGCCCACCAGCTCAGCTGAGGCTGGAGCCCTTTGGTACTCCCGGCTCTGGGATGCCTTGCCTGCGAAGCATTCCACCCCTTGGGGGTCTGGGGGGGCCTTCCAGCTGTGGAAGGGACACCCCCCCCCACGAAAGCACCCACTTTGTCACTGCCCCCAGGGAAGGGCAGGGCTTGCCTCCTTGGACTCGTCTCTGAGGAAATGGGGGAGGGAGGGATTGGGGGGGGGAACCTGTCTAATATTTCAGCCCTTCCCACCCAAGGGCCTTGCCTGGGGCCAAGCGGTGAGAATGCCAAGGGGGCCACCGGCACAGCTAACCGCAAGAGGGAGGAGGAGGAAGAGGAGGAGGGGAGTTGGGGTGCAAGGCAGCTTTGCCAACAGACCTGATGGTGCGGCTGGGAGGCTGGTGGGATGCCCCCCACCCCCACCCCTCCTGGCAACGGCTAAAGCCCCCATGTGCATTGCTTTCTGAAGCCTCTGTCAATCCAGAAATTGTCACCCTTGCTACTTGATGCCCGAAGAGGCAGCGAAAGAAAAAGAGGCAGAGGGCAGGGAACAGGGCGAGGGTGAGGAGGTTCAGGAGCCCTGCTGCCACGGGGCCTGACCGCTTGCCCCTCCAAACCCCTCCGCCTTCGGTCCAAAGGCATTCCTGTGCATCACGTGCAGGTGGCCTTACCCGCCAGTGGAAGTGAGTCAGGTGAGCAGAAGCCCCTCCCAGCCAACCAAAAAAGGGGAGGAAGAGGAAGAGGAAGAGGAGGCGCTTATGGGTCAAAACACACTCGACAGCTGGTGAGGCAGGTTTGGCATTGCTGGGCCCAGTCACGAGGCAAGCCCACAGACAATGGGAGCTACATAACACTGAGAGGTCCATTGGCAGATGGGGGGCCCCCACAGGGGCCAGCAGCAGGTCACGTGGGCCACCTATGTATTTCGCACACCGAGGGACTGCTCCAACTCTTGCCTGCGCTGCTGGATCTGAAAGGACAAGAGAAGGCAATGTGCAGGGCTGCTGTGGATGCTAGCGCATGGGTGCCTCCCCCCCCCCGCTGCTGGGGTGGGAGATTTCTCTTGCCCGCTCTTGCCTGCCCCCCTCCCCCGGGTCTCACCTTGCAGTAGAAATATCTGCTCACGGCCTCCTGGGACCAGGACTCATGGTAGAACTCAGCTCTCCGCTCCTCTTCCGGATTGCCCACCACATCGGTCATGACCTTTCCAGGCAGAAGGAACAGCATGCGGGTCCAGTTTCACCAAGAACCCAAGAAAACACCCCTCTCCCCACCCACCCCAGGTAAAAGGTCTCCTGACCAATAAATTGAGCATCTCTATTTACACACAGGTGTAAACAAAAGAAAAATCAGAAAGAAAGGGAGGGAGGGGGGGAGGGGGGGGGGGAGGCTTTCTTTATACTCTCATCCCGGGGGTCACGTGCTCAGGCAGGAAAACATCTGACCTCAGCGTACAGTACTGTACCCTTGCAACAGCCAGGCTGCTCTCCCCGCCCTCCCCGCTGCTTCCCTCTTCTTCTTCCTCAGGGAGGGAGGGAGGGAGGGAGGAATCAGATGAAATGAGGTGAAATTAAGGTTGAACAGCCTTTCACATGGAACATTATGAATCACTTTCAAATTTAGACCTACTTTGAGTATTTAACTGACTAACTAGCACGCCTCTCAGGATCTCAACACTTATGAGGGTGCATACAGAGAGAGAGAGGCAGGGTTTTTCACTTCGCAGTTATCCCCTGTTCAATTTCAACCCTATAAAAAGAACTGCACAGCTAAACACTAGAGATGGTGGCCGTGGGCAGAATGCAAACTACAAACCATAATAAAAAGGAAAACTAAGTAACAAGTAGTTATAAAAGGAGGACATCCTGAAATGCCTCCATGAAAAGCAATGTCTTGATATGCTTTTTGAATATTAGGAGGGAAGGGGGCCTGGCACCGCCTCTACAGGCAGAGCATTCTACATGTTTCTTTCCACTGTGAAGGCAGAATTTGTGTTTGCCCACTGAGGGCCATTGTGATGCCCTCTGCCCAGCTCCCCACCTTCACCTCAGTGCTACAGGCTAAACTCAGACCTCGTTGCCTACCTTCAGGTCTCTGCTCTGCGATCGGAGAAGATCTTGGATGTATCCTTTGGGGTCCTTGGAGAAACTCAGCATGAAATCTCGCTGTATCTTTAACTGATTGATGGACTCGATTGTCTCATGAATCTACACAGGAAGGGGAAAGGGACCCATTTCTTAGAAGAAGACAAAGTGGAACCAATTCATCAAGGGAAATGTTCTTCAAGTGTTGTGTAACCTGGAAGCGGGGGAGGCGAAAGGGGCTGTGTTGCCTTCCCTCCAGACCAGCCTACCCTCTAGACGTTCCTCAGAGTGGCAGGAGGCCCAGCTTCCTTCCACATCCACAGCTCCCAAACCTGACAGGGAAGGCCATCCTCCAGGTCAGGCTGGGAAGAGGTGGAGTGTCTCCTTCTCTTCCTCCCACCCCCGTCAGCTTAAGCTGCCAGGTTGGCACTGCCAAATACTGCCTGTGTTATGGCATTATTCGGAAAGCAAGGGCAAGAACATGAACCCACAGACTCCTTGGTGGTATGCGAGGCTTCACCGGCTGTGAGGATAATGGTAGAAGGAACCCTCCTTGGAAGCACAGAAGACAGTGAGGGAGGACTTCGGGAGACCCTTGAAAGTGAAGGGCCCAAGCTTGGGGCGGAAGGTGTGGAGCAGCAACCCCCAAGGGAAGCTGGACAAAGGGACACAATGGGGCCCGTCCACAGCATCCCTGTCTGGGGAGAGGGAGTGCCAGGAGGAGCTGCTCCCTGGTGTCGTCATCATGAGCCAGATACCTCTGGTGAGGGGAAGCAAAACATCACACCAAGAGGT